ATCCTTCTCCAAAACGTTCCCGTCATTCATTTAATGAAACTTAAAACTTGTCTTTCCTATTTTAGATCCTCATTAAACTTCCCATTGAGGGTTTTGCTGTATTTTTAAAACAGGAGATGTAGGGAATGCTTACAGAGACTGAGCAAAAGGAAGGAAAAGGCAGATGGCCGTGTGTCCCTTGCTGTCGGAGAGTAGAGTTGGGTGGCTGGCACAGAGGAGAGGGAGGGGCAGTTCTCAGGAGAAGAGAGTAGTGGGATGTAGTCTAACAGCCCAAGCCGATTGTGGGTTTCTCTCAAGCCTGTTTTTGGTTTTGGATGGATCGTTGCAGCATCAGAGATAAGCACTTTGTATCAAGAAAACGAAAAGCAGCCATTATCTTCAGATGTAATGAGCATATTCTTTTACTAATAAGAGTAAGAAAAAGGGTTCACGATCACTCCTTAGTGGTGATCATGTGCAAGTTTAGGCAGTGTTTTACATCCCTGGTGCACAGCAGGTACTTAGTTAATATTCACGGAGCAAACACAGGAACAAAGGGTTCGTGGCAGATGCCTTCCCAGGAGGGCATTTGGCAGTAAGCTGCCTGCACTGTTTTGGCTCCCAGTCTACTAAAGACAGCCCCGGGTCCCTGGAAGGGTTCAGAGTGTGGCACGGAGTAGGACAATGTGTGGCCATGCACCGTGGTGGTTTCTATCTTGGGTATTTAGATAGTCACATGTTCCTATTGATGTAGCACTTTCTCTCCAACAAACGCAGAATCTCTGCTTTCTGGAGGAGGTCAGGGGCACGTGGGCCCCATTCCCAAGAGTGGGTCATTACCATGGACCCCCATCCCCCTCCTCCTTAGCAAGTACCAGCTCAGGGTGGAGGGTACACCTGTCAGTCTTTCTATGTAGCACACATCACACTTACGTATATTTTCTTTGTTTCTTGTGCATGTGCACCCAGACACGTTCTTTCTCTTTCTACATGCCGGGTTCTATGTTGACTCTTTGCTGAATTGTCTCATTTCATCTTCACAGTAAGTTCATGAGAGAGATGCGGTTCCAATCCCCATTTCCCCAACACAAACACTGAGGCTCAGAGAGCTGAGATGCCATGGCTAAGGTCACCCAGCTAGTGTGTGGCAGAGCCAGGATTTGAACCCAACCTGTCCGCCTCAGTTGCTTTTAGCTCTACTGCTCTACCCTTGTGTGAATCAGAAGGAGACAGCCAACCAGGAAGGAGAAGGGGCGAAGGAGCCAGACAGTGTCTGAGACCCTGTGTGTATGTGGCCATTTCTAAGCTCTTTAAGGTGTGAAAGTTCTCTGTACATCTCCTCACCATGTGGTTGGTGGGCTACCTGGGCCCTCTCCTTTCCTGCTAAAAGACTCTTCCCATTTCCCAGAAATTTTCAGGAAGGACTTACCACTTTGGGGAAAAGAGAGTGATTGAGTGCCTCTCTAGGGTTCAGTCCTGGTAGGAGGAGGGAGCAAAAGCAAATGGCAGAAGAAAATTCCGTCTGGCTGGTGATAATGTGCATTGTATCCTTTTCTTCCTTAGATTATTAATATCTTCTTGCTTAAGTTGGGATGAAGGAGAGCGATTTATAAAGCCATATCTATCTATGTGGCCGAGGTGACCACATCTTCAGTTGTAAATTGATATGGCCATCCTACATCATTGTTTCACAAAGTAGAAATCTAGGGAACATCCATAAAAGTGCAAAAAACTGAATAGTTTCCAAATGGAGAGCTGCTGGGAGCCTGGAAGCGGTTCCACATGCAGGGCGCCCTTGGTGTCCCCTTTGGGAGGAGCCCTGGGTAGCGTGGTGAGCATGGACAGCCAATGGGCCTCCTTGGCACCGCTGCCTGGTGTGTACCGTTCTCTCACGCAGACCTCTGAGCCCAGCTCCCTTTGGTGATACAGACCAGATTGCTCAGCATAGCTTTATCCTGATGCAGTCAAGGGAAATTAGTCAACTGCAAGCTTGGATGATGCCACTAACAAGCTGGCGGGGGTTCAGAAGAACAGATTCCTCCACTGTGGCCACAGCTCACACAGCAACGGCGAGCATGGTTTTGATTACTGCACATGTTCCTCCCTGATGAGGGCAAGAACTTCTTGGTCTTCTTTGCTTTTAAGCCCCCTCTGCAACATGCCTCCCCGCCACGCCCCAACATGTACAGGCCTTTGCATTAGCAAAGCAGTTTTAGGTATGTTACCTCTTCGGCTCCTCACAGGGTGGGGCCTCGGAAAAGTAAACAGAAGCTGAATTAGCACCTTCTTATGCATGAGAATCTGGGATCAGAGGGGTTTGGTGACTTCCCCAAGGCCACACAGTAAGCGCATGGCAGAGGAAGGACTTGGACTGAAGTCCTGGGACTCCCAGCTCAGACTATACAAATCCAGGGATCAACTTTGAGAGTGTGTATTAGGCAGAATATAGGTGAAGTTTTAAAATTTACCTGGAAAATGGAGAGTTAAGAGGAAGAAGAACTGAAATTAGAACCTCGTTTAGGAAAGTTTTGGGCTGTAAGTTACTGAACAACTGAATGAAGGTTGCTTCAGCATATGGGCATCTGAGAATCTTAGGGAAGAAGCCTGGTGGAGGGCAGCTGCAGTTGTGGTACAGTGGTTCAGCAGTGTCATCATGCACACATACGGGCTCACACACTGACTCCATCTTCCTGCTCTGTCTTCCTTGAGTTTTGCTTTCCATTCTTAATCTTTTCACCTCATGGTTGCAAAATGGCTGCTGCAACTCCACAGTGGCATCCCAAGTGGGAAGGAAGGCAGTGGGTATAGAGGAGTTTTCCTTTAATGGCAAGAAAAAAGTTTTATCAAAACTGCCTCGAAAACTTCCCCTTCTGTTTCATTGGCTGGGAATGGGTCTAAGCCTAATGGGAATCAGGCCTAAGCGATGGCCGTATTGTCAGCCTGAAGCAAATTAGTCAACACAGGACGTGGAGGAGGAGGGAATGGCTGGTTTTTTGGCAGCTTCCAGTGTCAGTCCAATATGGACTGAGAACTTTGGGGTAGCTCCTCTTCAGGTTGGACTGTGCAATTGCTTCCTGGATCCTGAGATAACGTTCCATTTGTTGACTAAAAGTCACACTCCAATTTGTCAGTGACTAATTTCAGAATTGCATAAAAGTATTTGTTCTCTATGCCTCATCAGAGGAGATCTAAGCTCTAAGACCACTGTGGTATAATTTTTCAAATGCTTTTGTATGACTAAGAACAGAGATGAAAGAGGGAGTAAAAGACTGATGGGAAACACAGAGGGTTGGGGACCAGAGAGGAGAAGTTGGGGGCTTTGAGGTCCTGGGGTCAGTGGCTGTGAGGTCAGATTACCTGGGTTTGAATCTGGACCCCACCCCTCATGTAATCCCTGGTGACTCTGAGCAAGTTGATCATCCTTGCTGTGCCTCAGTTTCCCCATCTGTAAAGGAGGAGTGATCAGTACTTTCCACATGAGGTTGAGAAGTCTAGCCTGTGGCTAGATGAAGTAAGTGCTCACTGATGGTTAATTGCTGATTTGGTATTGCCACGCCGACTCCTTGCCTGGTGAGCATCTCAGCATGTGAAACCTGGGGTATCTCACTCTCTGTTGCCGCAGCTGAAGGTCGGGGTCGTCTCCAGTCTGTCCCTGCAGAGTGTCTGGGGCAGTTGTCCCAAGCTCATCTCTTTATTTCACTCACTTCCCTGCTCACAGCCCTCCAGGGGCCTCACTACCCACAGACTTAAAGTCCAAACTCCTTAGCCAGACTTTCCTCAGGAACTGGGCCTATGAGAGATGGTTCTGTTTCCTTCCCTCTGGAGTCCTGGGCTGGGCCTTTTGTCACCAAAGTAGAAATGCTATAATACTCTCATTGAACAAATGGTTCTTGGGACCTACTGTGGACCCAGCCCTTGTCACAGGGAATACACTGAGAAACCAGACTTGGACCCTAACGATGTGGCCCCACCTTGTGGCAAGGGATCCAGGTACCAAGTAATTAGAATTAGGGATATACAGGAGAGAGGCCTCACCTACACCAGAGGCTGCTTCCCAGGGGAGGCAGGGATGAGCTGACCCAGAGGGTGAACAAGAGTTAGGCAGGAGATGCCAGAGTGAGGGCTCCAGGCAGAGGACCCCATAGTGGGAGGCCTAAAGGAAAAGATGGGACCTGTTAGAGGGCAGGAAGGGAATTAGGGCAAGCTGATGCTAAGTTTATGGGGAGGATTAATGAGTGAAGATGCTAGAACATGGCCAAGTGTCCAGAGCCCTGCCAAGCCCTGGAAGGTTCATCTGCAGAGCAATGGGAAGCTGTGAACTGGGTCGACAAGAGGCAGCATGATCAGATTTGTGTTTTAGAAGGACCAGCCTAGCTATACTGCAGAGAATTGTGCTTGATGAGAGAAATGAAGATCAGAACACTCAAATTTCCACTTCCTAGTTGTGAGCTTTGGACAAAAACAAAGCGTCATGTTCTGGGTATTCTGGGATCAAAAATGATGAGAAGGCCAATGTTGGGAAGGTCTTGTCACTGTGTGTGAGCAGTGCTCTGACCACAGAGCGACTTCTCCGTCCCTTCATTCTGTCCTCACTCACCTGTGACCTACACATGGGCTCCTTGGCTCCACAAAGCCAAAGACGGGACCTGGAGCTGTATCCACCCACCTCTGGTATGCTCCTCATATCCCACCTGGACCACGCACTGTCAGCTATGCCCATGGAGCCCCAGAGATGGAGCCACCCTTGAAGGATTATCAGTTAGCTGTGTATATGCAGAAGACTGCCATACACCAACACATGCTCTACAAGTTTCTCCTTCAAACAAGAAGAGAGTAAAGTCTGTCTTTGGCACTTAATCACACTTTTCTATAGGGGCACCAGTTGAGAAAGTCACCTTATATGAACTGAGCTTGTGATTGCGCTGCTTTTTTGTTTGTGTGTGTGTATCCTTCAATTATTAAGTAGTACCCTTCAAATGCTTAATTAAGTGTTTCCTCTTGGCTATTTCTTCCCTTTGCAGTATAACGAGGAGCTTCACTATGTGGAACCTTGCCTGAATGGAACGTTGGTGCAAGCCGACAGGACAAACAAGGAGGTAGGGCTTGCCGCTGGGCTGGTGCATCAGGGGTCATGGCACACCCCTGTCCTCCTCACAGTGACTGCTTACAATAATTCTGTCCTTATTTTTAGAAACTCATCAAATGTACTGCCCTTTCGTTGAGGGCCTGGGAACCCCAGCTTGTAGAACGTTTATGAAGAGGCACAAATAAAATGATGGCAGTAAAATAATTGCATTGAGTTCAGATGCTCACTAGTTCCAAAACAATTGTGTTGATTTTCTTTTTTCTTGCTCTAAGCACATCCTATGTTGTGCTTGACACCCATGTTGACACCATTGAAAGAAAATGGCTCTTGCTGAGATTTCAAAGAAAATTGAACCCACTTGTTACATCTCTTGTTGTACTCAATATAATTGATTAAATAATTGTTGGGGTAGCTATTGGGTTAACTTGACTCCTGGGTTAGAAGGTAAGCTTTACAAGGATGGGGATAATGCCTGCTCTCTGCTGCATCCTCAATGCTCCAAGCATTACCTGCTCCATAAATACTGTAGAACAAAAGGAAGATATGTTAAAGGAGCATCCTAGGAAATGGGATAGAAGTTTCCCTTCCAGTTGGAGCATTTTGGGAAAATCGTCAGGATAGATTCCTATAAAATAAATCCTGTTTCCCTTTGACCACTTTTAAATTTGCCAGTACAACCACCACAGCTACCACCATAGCACCCCTTCAGGGCCAGGTGACAACTTCAGTTGAAACTATATCTCTGGCTGCAACAATGTCATACCTCCTGGGACTCATAGCGGCCATTACTCACGATGTTTTGTTGTACTTGCCATGTGAGTACAGTAAAATAACGCTCCTCTCCTGGAGAGCAGACCCCCATGCAGTGGCTGAGGACAGTGGCCAAGGTAGGCCTCTGTGAGGCGCTGTGCATGTGCTGCAGAGAAGCTCCTGACCCTGGTGGGCAGGGAGTGGCCTTGGGGCTATCTTAGATGCAGGTAGTAGAAGTATTCGGTTTGGGCATCTCTGAGGGAGTGAACAACAGAGGATAGGGAGAAATTCATTACAAGTGGAACAGAGTGAGAAGAAAAAATTATGCCAGAGTTAATATCCAAGCTTCAATTTGAGGGGGAAGAAACATCATAACAAGCTGTTTTTAGGAGAGAGAAAGAAGTACATTGTAGTTCAATATCTAGGGAATATTTGTTCATGGTCATTTTCTAGGCTAGGGTAGGAAAAAAATGACTTAAACCTACAGCCAAGTTCTCTAGGGACTCTCCCTTTGTTTGACCATGGCCTGGGTCTAGATTCCACCGCCTTCTCAATATTGTAGCATTTGAATGTCTGCCAAAGCCTCAAATGGGTGTCCAGTGATGGTGCTTTCAACATTAAATAGAAAAGATGCTTAAAATGATCCAGGCCTTCCTCCAAGTGGCTTTCCAAATGGACAAGGGTGGTGTGATATTTGAAGATATGAGGTCTTATGAATGAAAACAATTTTAGAGAAAGTGGGCTAGGAATTTATCTTCCACCCTACCCACATCGACTTGGCCCTTGTGCTATACCTCAACAGAGAAACTGGTTGCTAAGAAAAAAGATTAAACAGGAACCAGAGTCTTATAATATACAACCCAAAATGCCCAGAATGCAATTAAAAATTCCTTGTCATCCTAAGAACCAGGAAAATCACAACATGAATGAGAAAAGACAATCAACGGAACCCAATATTGACATGAATCAGATGTTGAAATTATCAAATTGCTTCAACAAGCTATTAGGAATTCTCTTGAAACAAATGAAAAAATAGAAAATAGCAAAGAAATAGAGGTTATAAAAAAGAGCCAAATGGAAATTATAGAACTGAAGAATGCAGTCACCAAAACAAAAGGCTCACTAAATCAGCTCAATGGTAGAGTGGAGATGGTACTAGATAGAATCGGTGAACTTCAGGACAGATCAATAGGAATTACCGAGCCTGAAAAACAGAGAGAAAATGGACTGGAAGAAAATGAACAGAGTCTCAGGGACATGTGGGGCAACAAAAGAGCTAGCATTTGTGTAGTATAAGTCCCAGGAGAGTGGGAGTGGATAGATATTTGAAGATATATTGGCTGAGAACTTCCCAAAATTAGTGAAAAGCATCAACATACAGATTCAAGAGGCTGAGAAAATTCCAAGTAGGATTAACCCAAGTAAATCCATGACAGGACACATCATAGTTAAATATAATTAGTCAAGAAAAAAAAACTTGATAGCAGCCAGAAAGAAAGGACATATTACTTAAATTACCAACTTGAATGACAGCATATTTCTCATATGAAATCATGGAGACAAGAAGGAAGTGGCATAGCATTTTTCAAGTACTGAAAGAAAAGAATTGTCAACTCAGCACTCTATGTTCAGTGAAAATATCCTTCATGGATGAAAGGGAAATAGACATTCTCAGATGAAGGAAAACTCTGAGAATTTTTTGTGAGAAAACCTACCCTTAAAGAATGATTACAGAAGTTCTCCAAACAGAAAAGAAATTACAGAAAAAGTCTTGAAACTTCAGAAAGGAAAGAAATTGGAATGGGAAATATAGGAGTAAGTATAATAGACTATTCTAATTCTCAGGAGATTCTTAAATCATTTTTGATAGTTGAAACAAAAATTATATCATCATCTGATATGGTGTCCAATGTTTGTTGAGGAAATACTTAAGGCAATTATATTTAAAATGTATGGAGGGTAAAGGGACCTAATTAGAAGTAACATTTCTACATTTCACTGGAAGTGGTAAATGCTGATAACAGTATACTGTGATGAATTACATATTTGTGTTGTAATACCTAGAGCAACCATTAAGAAAACAATAAAAAGAGGAACACGTAAAAAAGTAACTCACGGCGGGCCAGCCTGGTGGCTTAGTGGTTAAGTTTGTGTGCTCTGCTCCTGTGGCCCAGAGTTTGCAGTTTCAAATCCTGGGCACCGACGTAGCACCACTCATCAAGCCATGCTATGGCAGCACCCCACATAAAATAGAAGAAGATTGGCACAGATGTTAGCTCAGGGCCAGTCTTCCTCACACACACAAAAAAAGTAACTTACAGGAATGTGAGAAAAGAGAAACAGAAATGAGAAACAGAGGAAATAACAGGAAAAAGAGATAAATTGGCAAACTTAAGCCCTAACATAGCACTAATTATCTTTAACATAAATGTTCTAAGCACACCAATTAAAAGATAGAGATTGGCCAAGTAGATTTAAAAATATCTAGCCATATGCTGACTACAAGAAATTCACTTGAAATATAATGAGATAGATTTGTTGAAAGTAAAAGGATGGGAAAAGATATACTATGCAAACATTTAGAAAAAAATAGGAGTGGCTATATTAATATCAGGTAAAGTCGTCTTCAAAGCAAAGAAAATTACTAGAGACAAAGAGGGACAATACATAATGATAAGAGGATCAATCCACCAGGAAGACATAACAATGCTAAGTGTGTTTGCCCAAACTACAGAGCTTCAAAACACGCGAAGGAAAAATTACAAGAGCTGAGAGCAGAAATAGAAAAACCTACAGTTATAGTTAGGGACTTGTACACTTCACAGTCATGAATTGATAAACTGTTAAACCAAAACTCAGCAAGAGTATAGAACTGAGCAAAACCATCAACTAATAAGATCGAAACAGTATTCATTGATTACTCTACCCAACAACAGCAGAATACACATTCTTTTAAAGCACCCATGGAACATTAACCAAGATAAAACATACCCTGAGACATAATACAAACCTCAACAACTTTAAAAGAGTTGAAATCATACAGAGCACCTTTTCTGATGATAATGGAATCAAACTAGAAATAAACAACATGAAGACAACAGAAAAATCTCTAAACACTTAGAAATTAAACAATACACTACTAAATAATTTATGGATCAAAGAGAAAGTCTTGAAGGAAATTTTAAAAATATAAAACTGAGTGAAATGAAAGACAGGGTATCAAAATATGTGGAACAAAGCTGTGACAGTATTGAGAAGGAAATGTATAGCATTAAATGCTTACATTAAAAAGAGGAAAGCCTCAAATTAATAGTTTAACTTCCTACCACAAGAAACTAGGAAAAGGAAAGCAAAATAAATCCCAAGCAAACAGAAGGAAGGAAATAATACAAAGCAGAAATCGATTAAATTGAAACAGGAAAACAGTAGAGGAAAAATCAATGACACCAAAAGCTGGTTCTTCAAAAGAAAATCAATAAAACTGATAAACCCTCTAGCAAAGCTGATAAAAATAAAAAAAGACAAGTCACAGATCACCAATATCAGGAATGAAACTGGCAATATTACTACAGAACTGTAGTCATTACAAGGATAATAAGGGAATATTACAAAGAAGAACTGTACACTTGTGCATTTGACAGCATAAGAGAAATGGGCCACATCCTCAAAAACTACAAGCTACCAAAATCCAACTGAGACAAAATAGGTAACCTGAATAGTCCTATAAATATTAAAGAAATCAAAATCATAATTTAAAGTTTCAAAAAGAAATCTCCAATCTCAGAGATGCTTTCACTGGAGAGTTTTACACAACATTTAAAAAAGACTTAATATCAATTTTACAGAATCTCTTCCAGAAAAACAGAAGAGGAGGGAAATCTCTCCAACTCATTTTCTGAGGCTCTAGTTCCCTGATAAACCAAAGACAGCACAGAAAAAGAAAACTACCGACCAATATCCCTCATGAACTTACAGCAGGAATCTCAACAAAATTTTGGCATATCAAATCCAACAATATATCTAAAGAATAACACACCATCACCAAGTAGGCTTTATTGCAGATATGCAAAGCTGGTTTGACATCAATATCAAAACAATCAATGTAATTCACTATATTAACAGGCTAAAGGTGAAAAATCATATGATCATATCAACTTACTCACAATAAGCATTTGATAAAATCCCACACACATTCTTGATTTAAAAAAAACCTCTCAGGAAAATAGGAACAGAGGTAACTTCCTCAAATTGATAAAGACC